TTGTAAATCATTGTAACGTGTTTCATATAATAACAAGTTTCTCTCAGCTACTTGTAAATCCACTAATTTTTTATCTAACCTGAAAAAAGACAAAAATATTTACAAAATATATTAGCTAAAAAATATATAAAATACATTATAATTTTATAATGTATTAATATAATATAATTTATATAATGTGTTAAATTATAAATAAATTAATTTTAATTATATCTAGAAATTTAAAATTAAAACTTTATTAATAAATTAACACTGTATATATGTTATTTCCTCATACGTTATTCTTTATTTATTTATCGAATTTGATATATTTTCATATTAAAAAAAATATGATCATATTTCATATGCATATCCTCAACATATTTCCATTAAAAAATTTTAATCGTTTGAAACATTCCGGCAGTTGAGAGCAAGAGGTGAAGTTTCATGTTTCTATTTCAGGCAACGACCCACATCGAGAATTTTATTTTCTACCGCGGTGTCTTGAAACATCTTAATATTTCGTTACCTTAAAATATATAATATATCAACATGCAACTTATATATTTTATCCTTCTATACGATCACTTTCAATGTTTATTAATTTTTAAATGAATATTTGAATTAATTTTTATTTATCTTTTTTTAATTGATACATATTATAAATAACTGTAACAAATACAAATAACTAAATATAACTACAATAAATATTAAAAGTGAATAAAATAAAATGGATTTATAATATATATAAATAAAATTATTTCGAAAGAAATATTGAATTTATATTTTCATATAAGCATGCGCGTTCTACGATTTTATTTTTTTTTACAAATGCATATTTTCTCTATAATTATTTAATAATCAATATTAGCAACATATATAATTATATTTTATATAAATCTTATTAAACTGATAATTACAATAGATTTTACAAAATCTTTTTCACTTTTAAATTATTATGAGAAAAGTGTGATAAAGCAAAAAATAAAAAATAAAAGTTTAGAATATATTTTATTTCAAATTTTATATTTTAAACTGACTACAACATTTGATGAAATATCAAATCATAAAATAAAAAATTAAATAAACCTGGAGACCAAAATTATATATAATCAACGGCAAACAACATGGATATGATACACGAATATACCCATCTCCCTTAACACACATACATGTAAATATAAAAAAACACGAAAACGAAATATATATATATATATATAATATTATCTTTCATTTCTTATTTTATTTATTAAACGAATAACATTTCCCGCTTTTTTCTGATTTTATCTGTATTTTTATCGATTGCTCAATGCTTGCTCGAAAGGAGGTCAATGTTTTCAGTCGAGGTTATACATGCGGTTGAAAATGACATCACCGCCGCATAGTAAACGTGACACAATCACTCGTAGTAACGTCACGTTTCGAGTTAGGCACACCCAAATATTCGAAAACTTTGTAATGAATCTTATCAATGAAATAAATACTCTTATAAATTTGTTTTGTATTATATAGTAATAATATATTTTTGAAAAAATATTTAAAGATAATGATACAAAAGTAATGCATTTAAAGAATTAATGTTATTTTTAAATAAATTTCATTGTATTTTGTAGATTTAATATTTGAACTTTTTTATAGAACTCCATTGAATTTAACAAATATAACTATATATATAAGTATAGAATAAAATTCATAATTTAATAATAAACAAGAATCATAGATGAAATTTTATTATCTATATATATATATATAATATTTATATATTATGATATATCAATTGAATTATTTGTCATTATAATTGAGTTTTATATATATAATTAAGTTCTTATTGAACTTTGTTTTTCATATGTTCTATCAATTTTGTTGTGTTTATTTATTTACGTTTTTGTGAAGGTGGTATCGTGCTTGCTGATTGATATTTTGTACGAGACCGCCTTTTATAAAATTCATTTTTTGTTCTTAAAATTATATTTGAATAGATTTATTTGAATCATTGTATTTTCAAATCAGAAGTACCGGCTTTCTTAGGATATAGCTATTCAAATTTATTGTTATATTTGCCTAATTAATATTAAATTATTACTATAACTATAAAATATTTCTAATTATGAATAAATTACTAGTCCATTTCTACATTAAATTAATATATTTTTAAATGTATACTAATATAAAAATTTCTTTCATATTTAATACTCAAATATTTAAATTATAAAAAATATAATGTTTATCATTATATATTCATATTTTTTTAAGAAAATTGATATTGATATTATGCAAAAATTACATATATTTATAATATTGTATTTCTTTAAGAAATGTATTATAATTAATTTGTTTTATAAGTGTACTTAAATATATTTCATCATATGAAGAAAGATTAATTAAACAATTTGTATCAATGAATTTTTGCAATTGATTATACATATATAAAATATTTGCATTTCATTATATAGTTTGTATCCATTCAATATATGCACAACAGCAATTTTAAAATGTAAATGCAATGAATCATAATTAAAGAAGTAAAAAAATACTAGTACATACATAAAAAGAAATGCACGACAAATTATGTATAAACAATTATCTGAAAATAATTTTTATAAATTCCGAAAATAATAATTATAAAAAAATATTATAAACATGTTAATAATATTAATTAATTAAAAAAATATATCAAATATATTGATTATAATTTATTAATTTTTTATTATTAACTTTTAAATTTCGCAATAATTTTAATGTCGTTTCTTCGAAATCAGAATTGCACGGAAGACGCATTATTATCAATGATGTAAGTTTGCAAGATTCGTCAAGTAAAATGTGTATTGTAGTTAAACTTTATTTTACTTATATATTTATTTTATACATATGAAGTACAAGATATAAATTGAAAATAATATAATTATTTTTTCTTTTTAAATTATAATAATATTGATGAAGTTTTCACAAGAAAATAATATTTAATGAATGTTTGATAATAAAAACTATAGAATAAAGATAAATATATTTTTCAAATAATAAATAATAAATATATTTTTTATCTACTTCAAATTAATATATAAAAAGCAATAAAAAGTAAAGTAAATTTTGTAATATAAACGTTATTATAACACTTTCATGTCCTTTATTTATTAGTGTTTATGTTTCTTTTTCTGTCTATGCATTTGAAGATAAACAATATATATTTTGTAAATATTTGCTGTTAGTGGGTGGTATGACGAAAACGAGTCTTTATGAATTTAATATTATCGATTCTATGAGCATTTGTTACAAATATTGCAAATAAATTTGAAAATATACTTTTGAAATATCACTCAAGTTTTATCAATCCAAAATTCTGAATTTTAAAAATTGCTGCACAAAGCTACTTATTATTTTATCATATTAAAAAAAAATTAAAAAAGACTCACTTGGATTTAAGTTCTTCATTGTTATCCCATAATCGTTTAGTATCTATCTCAAGTTTTGCTCGTTCTTTTGCAGTGTCATCCAATAATTTTCTTGCGTCGGATAATTCATGTTCGTACATAGACTTGATGTTGGATACTTCGCGGGTGATAGTCTCCTGGGTTGTCTGTACCTCCCGCGTAAGTCTAGAATTCTCGGATTCCAAATGCCGTACTTTGTCAATATAGCAAGCCAATCGGTCATTAAGATTCTGTAAATCTTGTTTTTCTTGGAGACGTGAATAACGAGTTGGACTCAAAGGACTTCCTGGTCGTTGTCCAATTGGTGTTGACGTAAATTGTGGCGACTGCACGTTGCTACTCGACGTCGCCGTGGTCTTCTTACTTGCTTTCGTTGACATTTTTCACAATAATTGGTTCTCTTATTGCACTATCACTTAATCTTGCACTATCGAATCATCAATTTAGTGCACAGTAACACCGTGCTTGTAAAAGATGCTTTTAACGAATAAAAAAACTACCGAAGTCCAAATGCTCTTGCCTTAGTCAACGGAAGAACTGTTTAATGATGACGCCAACATTAACGAAGCAATCTTCTTATGTGCATCTTTATATTGCGTTAGTAAACGCAATGAAGTAATGTGATTGGTTATGTCCAAGTATATACAATATTTGTAAGCCAATCATATATCATTTCCTTCTAAGTGCGCACCAATAAGAAAAGATTTATCTACTAGTGAAATGCGATAAACTTGAAAACAATTTTTACTAGAAAATCTATATAAACAAAAAAAAACTTTAATTTTATTTATGAATTTTAAATAAAATTATTTTAATTAAATTAATTTTTTTCAATTATGTTATATCTCTTTCTAAGTATAAATTTTTATATAACTTATGAAATGTATTTACATTTGACATAACAATGAGATCGAATATTTTGAAAATAAAAGTATTATTAAATATAAATCAATTTCTTTTTTTATACTTAAAAAATTAAGAATCTAAAAGTCTTTCGAGATTCTTATATCTTCGATTAAAAATCATAATAAGTTTTTTGTTATTTAATAATTTTTAAATTGTTTTTATAGAAATAATATAATTAATTATAGAAATAATATAATTAAAATAGTTTTAAAAATAGTTATTTATTTATTATTATCTAAATATCAGTTTAAAATTAGAATTCAATTAAAAAAAAAGAGATGTAATATTTGTTAAAATATTTTTACTTACTTTAATGTAGTGGTAATAATTCTTTTTTTCATATATAAAAAATATATCATTCAATATAATATATTGAACGATTAAAATTCTTTATCTTCGGATAGTAGATATCTATTATGAAGTAAATGACGACTAAAATATTTGGAATAACAATGACATAAGAATATAATTAAACCAATATAATATTTAAACAAACAAAAAATATTTATTTTTTGTATGATTTCTGTAAGTTAAAAATTAAATTTTAATAATAACAATTTTCTAAAATAATTAAAAATAATTGTGCACTTATTTATTATTATTTTTTAAAACTATTTTGAGATACGTTGTAAATAAAATAAATTCCGTTTAACATTTAGTTTTCAAATATTTACTAGAGGGCAGTAAAGTAAAAATTTTTAAAATGTCTGTAATAACTGTAGATAGAAATTAGTATCTGATAATATTTCGTGAATGTTATAAAAGAATAAACTCTTTTACAATTATATTTTCAAAGTGGCATTCGTATAATACAAATGATTTTTAAATATTAATAAGATTTTATAAATCTTAAAAATAATAATAAATCTTAAATCTTAAAGATTATGTATCTATTAAGAAACAAATTATACATTGACAAGTTATGATAACGGTGTTTATAAATGATAAAAATAATATGAAGTATTGCTATGTTTTTAATAATATTTAATTACCGTAAAGATAACATTATTAAAAACGAAAATCCTAAATATTATAAATAAAAATACATGAAAATGTGTGATCTTATAGATTTAAATAGCCCTGACATAAAGGGTTCATTAAGTTCAAGACTTGCATCACCTCTAATACCAGTTCCTACAGATATATGCAAGAATTTTAATACTCGAAAAAATGAACCAAATTCTCCAATAATAGGAAAACGTGATAGTTTAGAAAATAATCCTTTTGATATGGTATTACATAAAACTACAGAATATATTCAAAAAAAAGATGACCCTTTTGAAATGACTTTAGAGAAAGCAATGAAATTAAAATGCAAACAGAAGACTTCATTAAGATCATTTTCTTTAGATTTACCAGATAATTCAACTGTTAAACAAAAAGTACATACACAAAAATTAAAAATGAATCAAACAGCAGATGAACTATCAATCAAATCAAATACAAACAATGTAATTACTAATAAAGTATCTAATGAAAATATAATTGTTAATGTAAGTAATGCTAATATTAGTAATAATTCAAAATCAGATGTACCTATTATTGAAATTCAAGATAATGATTTATCCATTTTAAATCAATCTGAAATGAATGATATATTATTTGAAACAGATAATAACTCAAATAAAAATCAAATAAAATCTATTTTACAAAATAAAATGTCATTACATATGCAGAAAGATAAAATAAATATTGAACAAATTCCATTTTCTAATTTAACTTTAAAAGTTCCAAAATTTAGGCGTTCTTATTCACAAGGAGAAGCAATATCTCCAAAAGAATCACAATATTTACATCAAGTATCATTATTTGAATCTTTAGGAATTGATTCAGATAATAATATTAATATATATTCTTCAAATTCACTTGATTTATTGAATGAAGGATTTTTGAAAAGTTATTCTAATGAAAGTTCTATTTCAAATTTATCAAATATTTCTTCTATTCCTAAATTAAATTCTGTTTCTTCAACAATCAATTCATCAATAATGTTATCAAATGGAACTATGAATCGTACATTTTTAGAAAGCTGTTCATCAGAAAAATCACAAAATACAAAATTAAATGAAAACATGGATTTGAATAAAGAAGTAAAATCTATGTTTCCAACAGAAAAGGATTTAATGACATCAGTAGCAAATATATCAATAAAAACTTCAATATCTGATTTAACAGATCGATTTAATAAATTGAAAGCAAAAGTATCAGAAACTCATATTGAAAGTTGTATGAATAATAAAGATGAATTTACACATAATTCTTCCAATGTAATGAAAGAATGTGTCATAGAAAAAAATGAAAAATATGATATAAATAATAAATTAATAGATATTGATGTATTTACACCAGACAATAATAAAGAATATTGTAAAAATTCCATTTCAGATACATCTTCAGATTCTGTTTTTCTTGTAAGTTTTTTATTCTATGTATTAATAATTATATTATATAATATTTCCTTACCAATTTTTACTTTACAGGAAGAAAATAAAATTAACAAATCAATACGTCAAGAAGCAAAACTTCTTGCAAGAACTTTTGAAGAATTAGCTTTAAAAACCAGTTCAGGCTGTAAGTTTACATTTTATTTCAATTAATATAATAAATACAATATTAAGATTGTTTTATCAAAAATCTAAATCTTATTAATTTATAATGTAATAAATTATTGATTTAAATATAAAAGTTTAATTATAAAAATTAAAAAACTAGAATATAAAGAAATTAGTGTAATAATTATTAATAATTAGTGTGAGATTAAATGATATAAAATATAAAATAGAAAAACAATAATTAAATATATTAAAATTTTTTAATAAGTAACATTAATATTTAATTTATACACAATTCAAACATATTTGAAATAATAATTTTAAATGATAATTTATATTTTACTATCTAGCAAGTATGGATGATTTCATTACAAACAATTCTTTATGGACATTAGAGTTATTACCAGCCTTTGATGATGAAACTTCAGTTGAAAATTTGATTGATTTGCCGACGTCTCCTGAGGGAACAGATACAAAATCAAAAAATGTAGAAATCGCAGAGAATAAATGTAATGATTCAAATAAAAGTAAAAAAAATGAATTTATTGATAATGTGAAAATAAAAGATTTAGAAATGGAACTTGTTGAACCAATATTAGTAGAAAAACGTTTTACTGCAGTAACGCTTTTATTAGAACTTAAAAAATTAATCGAAACAGAAAATAATGTAGAAGCAAGTAAATTAGTAAAAAATTTGGAGAAAGCTTTAGGTATTAATTGTGAGAACAATACTGAATTATTGACTACTTATCTTAATGCAACTAATAATTTAGCAAAAAGTCCAGAAAAATCAAGTAACAATTTGGATATGATAAAAAATGTAGCAGAACATAGTATAGAACACAGTCAAGAAAATAATTTGACTGGTAATTCGATGGAAAATATTAAAGAATCAGAGTTTTTTGAAAAAAGCTTTAATGCAAATAAATGTATTGATAATCAAAAATACTTAAATAATGTAAATTGTAAATCAAAATGTGAAACTCCAGAAACAGAAATATATATTGAAAAAATAAAGAAAGAAAAAGATGAAAATGAAATTATTTCTCATAATAATGATTGTTACAAACAAAAAAATAATTTAATAAATGAAAAGATGGTAATTGAACTTCTTGCAAATATAGGAAAATTATTATGTGAACAGACTGATGAACATCCAACTTTGAATGTACTTAAAAATTTAGGAAAAGTATTAAATTTTACTTCTAATAATTGTAATATTGATAAGAATACAAAAAGTGACAATGCTTATATAGAAATTCAACAAACTCCAAAGAAATCAAAGTTAAAATTTGAAAATGAATCTCGATCGTTATATTTATCAAATTCTACTAACAGATTAAGTTTAAGTTTAGAATCAAAGGTACATATAAAATTGAAAATTTTAAAAAAATTTGTAAAATTCTAAAAAAAAAATCTCTTATAAAATAATTAATAATATTTGTTACAGAAGATATCAAATAATAAAAATTTTATTAGGAGAAGTGTATCTGTATCTCAAACACCGCCATTTAAAAATGAATCTAATTTATCAATGTTTAATAGCAAAAGTACATCTCAATTGAAAGAAATAACAAAACGATTTTCTAGTGATCCTAGTTTTACTAAACCAGAATCAAATAAAGAGATTATTATAAATAATGATAAAAACATACTACAAAAAGGTAATTATTTGTTTTTATGTTAAAATAATGTTAAAACTATTAATAATGATATACTAATTATGTATAAATAATTAATATGATGGTAATCATAATTATTAATTAGATTTACAGAGAGAAAAATCTTCTACAATAAGTACAGTTAGAAATAAATTTAAGAAAAAAGTTAATACTAATATCATAAACAAAAAGGGTCCAATGAAAGCTATTCTTCCTATAGGAAATATGCAAAAAAGAGGTATAGTTAAATAAATTAAAAAAGAAATATAACATTTATATTTTCTCTTTAATATGTATTTTTTTTTTCAGAACTATTAATAAAAAATTAACTTCATCTATTGGAACTACAACACCACCTCAATCTCATAAAATAATTAGTAGTACTCCTAATTCCACAAACAATGAACTTTTAACCAAAAAATCACGATCTGCGAAACCAGTTGCTTCGTCAACTCCAGATGCTCAAAATTCTAAAATACAAAAAACACAATCACAAATAATTAACAGTCCTAAAAAACGTAATTTTTCTTGTGATATTTCACCTGTAACTACACGCATAAATATTAGTAATTACAATGGAATGAGTAATAATTTACAAAGGTAAATTTAATTTTATAATATCTAAAAATATTATAACAATATAATAATAATATATAACAATAAAAAATAATTTATTTTCTAGAAATACTAAATTACCATCTCCAAAGAAAACAACACCTAAACGCCGAGCAACAGAATCTGGTATTCCAAAAATACAGACTCCACCTATAAACAAAAGTTTAAATTCTTCGTTTGAAGTTAATCAATATGAACGTTTATATGAATCTCCGAAACGTTCAACATATAAACAATCAAATTCACAAAAAAATTCGCCAATTTCTTTTAAAAATAACGGAAATAATATACAACGAAGTCCATTAAGAGATAATAATAAAATTGTTCAGAAAGTAAAACCGATAAATTTGGTATATATAAAATTATATTTTAATAATAAATTATTTGAAAATAATAATTTAATCATAATTTATTTTTTAACAGATTTCGAAACTTCGACGCTATAGTAATTCAAATATAATGGACAAAGAAAACAGTTACGTTTAATTTATAAAAAGTTCTGTTATAATTAATACTACTCGTGTTATTAAACGTTCGTAACATTGCAATGTGTGAACTTTTTACATTTATGTTTTGCAATAAAATATTTGGAAAATAAATAATATGTAGTTCAAATCATTTTCTTTTTTCTTTATTTTACAAGATAGTTCTTATTTTAATTTAAAAAATTATAATCAATATTTTCTTAAAAATATTGAGAATAAAATATTTTAATCATTATTAAACATTCATATTTTTATGATCAAAAATTGTAGAATTTTTTGTTTCTCAATTCCTTTGCTTAATACTTTTAAACCATAATTTTACATATCTCAAAGCTGTGAATTACTAATATCATATTATAGAAATAAGAATATTTAAATGTGCCACGTGCAATGCATCTTAAGATTTGCTCATGATCTGTTGCGTCAGATCCGTCGATCTGAAAACAGGCTCAAAAGAGAGCTACTCGGCCGGGAACGAGGACAGCAGCGCTCGGGAATGGCCGATACGTCACGGTCGTTTCTAAAATCAAAGATGCAGTAACGTATCATATATAAATCATGAAAAAAATATTGTTAGAAAATAACTTCTATTTTAATTTCAATTTATAAAAATTATATCTTATTTTAAATGCATATTTATATAAAATTATTGTTAAATTTGATAAACGTATCTTGCTATAATAAATACATAATAAAATGTGTTAAAAAAATTAACAATTAAAAATAAAATTTTTTAATTTTTTGTGCAAAAATTATTTATAATTTACAAAATAATATATTCTACTAATTTATTTAAATAAAAAGTTGTTAAAATAATGCAGATGAACGGTGATAACTAATTGAAAAAGAAAAAAAGATATAACAAGAAACGATGTCGGCAAAAGCGATGCGCAGAAGCCGGTTTCCATAGGGTACTAACAAAGATATTGCCGCACCTGCACGGACCCGTCCCCGCAAAAAGTGCGCTCCGCGTGTTCCGTACTCCAGCGGCGGTTCGTCCACACTCGCGTGTAGCCGCACCCGGCTTGACGCTCTTCGGTTTTGTAGAAATAACTTTTAGAAGCAGTTGCGAAGAAAATTAATCGGCGATGCAAACAATTCTTTAAGAATTGTCAGAAGTGACAGTATCAATGAGGTGAAGTGCGTCACAGTTTCTGTGAGTTCGATCTTTTTGGGCGTTCTGTACAAGCAGAGCCAGCGCGGCGCGCACGAGAGGCCGCCTCTAGAAAAAGAGCGCGTCTCACGCGTTGCGCTACATTGGAGTATGCGATGTTCGCGAAAATATCAGAAAAACGTTGGAAATGATAAAAGTGCAGATATTAACTAAAAGCGATTTATAATTGTGCATTACTGCTTTTGAAAGTGTAAATTTGTGAAGATTTTAGGCCGGTCGAACCGGGAGTAAGAAAAGAGGCTGGCGCGCACCGAGTCTACCTCGGGAAAAGACCGCGTCTTACAGGTTCGTGGTGTGTTGCGATAGCTATTGTGTGACACAATTATCCAGGCTTATCGCCATTCTTAAAATTATCATACGTGTCATCATATATAATAAAGATGATAGAACTACGAAATATTCTGCGAACAGTCTGTGCACAGTGTCAACGCATATGAAGGTATACGGGAATCGTAACCGGCAGCGATATATCCCGCGTGGTACGTATACGCACGTAACATACATCTAAGTACGATACGTATGTGTGGTATGCACATTTATAAGGACTATGGACTCGTGAAATCGTTGTCGTTGGTCGCGTGTATCGAAGTGGCCTGTCGCGAAGCGCGTTTACAGAGAGATCCAACACTGTGGAAAACTTAACGAGAGAGAGAGAGAGAGAGATCAGAAAGAGGAGAGGTATTCGTTGTTCGACGATTGGCGCGTGGTGAAGACATTCGACGGTCACTTGGCACGTATATAGTGTAATTATTTCCCAGTTATCCCATTTTGTCTTTGTGAAGAAAAATATTATTTATGGGTACATGGATCGGTGCATTTTCACGAGCGAAACAAAAGAGGAAGAACAAGCAGTTTCCAACCAATACGAAAACCGTTCTCTTTGTTCGGTATTGCGATACCTCGCTAACGATTTGTTCGAATTTTAAATCGTGATTCACGACGATTACCGGAAGGAAGTTACCTACGTGGATACCAGAATATCTTGACATCGTAAAAAGTGCGTACAAAGGGTGTGAAATGCGTCGCGCTGCAGTTCGATGTTCGATCCAGTAGCGACGGACGACCTGACTTTGTTAGATTGCTTCTCGACGTGTACATCTCTCGGCTTTAATCCAACAATGGATCAGCGCAGCTACAGTATACAATTCGAAATTCTTTTCCGGTAGCGGATAAAACGATAAAAAGTGATCATTCGCGTGCTTTCTGAGCTGCGTTTAATCGCTTTATTCAGTGATTAATGCTAAACATTTAGTAGACATTTCGCGCGTTCCGAATGCGCCATAGATTTTGTACATTATTGACTTTGTCGATCCGTGCAATCGATAATATTGCATCACGTTAATGAGTTTCTTCAGTTGTGTTATTTTTTTCATCCAAGCTAAGTTCGTAGAATTAAAAAGCTAGACAAACATATAACATTGAAACATTGAGATATGTGCTTTTATTATAACATATTCGAACTTGTTTATATGCGTAAGAACAGTTCTGCGCTTGATACGAAGCGGTATGGGCTGTTTCTACTATAAGAATTATCGACATTTTATCTACTTATTTTTTTTTAATAGTAATCAAGAACTTTTAATATTTATGCAATGATAAGTTGAAATAAATATCATAAGATTTTTACGTTTACGTTACGAAAATAAGAAAGGAAAAAAGAAAAAAAATTACATGAAAATCAACTAAGTGATAAAATAGAAGCGAATGTACACGCGCAACATATAAAATTTTTGCCGGCCGTTATGACATCAAGCGTGAATGTATTCAGCACCGTAAAAACGTGCAGGAAACATTGTGAAAATAATTTATATCAGTTTGTTTCTAATTATCATATAAAAGTAAGTTGTCAGATATTTTATTGTGTCATAGAAGGTTTTATTGTCGCATAATAATGCAGCAACACCGGGTGGAAACACAAATTCTCCACGAGGAGCAAATCCTGGAGGCAATAGATCAGTTACGTCGACGTAAAGCTCGACCTGATGCTGATCGTATCTGCAATTATTTACTACGGAAATTTTCCGTGGATGCACGAGATACCATTGCTGATCTTCATCGGTTGATTGAAGCGGAAAAAGTCATACAAGTTGACTATAAGGGTAACACTAGTTACCGAAATGCTTCAAAATGGTCACGATTACAACTTTATAAAAATCGACCGGAGGGTTTTGTGAAGGAGAAATTAAATTCTGGGATGGTAGCAGGTGCAGTAGCTGAACTTGTTGTTGAAGAACCAGATTATCTTGATCAAGGTGTACCAGCTTATAGGCTAATTGAACAGCTACTCGATGGTGTTTCAAATCCTACTTCTAGACGTATGGTAGAAGATTTTCTCGGAAAAGAAGTAGCCAGTGGTAATTTAACGCGTTTGTCTAATGGCAATTACTCGCTGGTGGCGACGTCTGACATGACAACCACCGCTGAACCAACACATCGAGAATCTTTTACCCTCGAGAATGGAAACGCGCGACGTAAAGAATTACAAACTGTTTCCTCAACCACGGGTGGTCTTTATGATTTTGACGAAACAGAAAACTTGACAATTACGGACTCTAGGTCAAATACACCCAGATCTTCACATCAAGCAAGCCCCAAATCTGATCCTCAGATCAGAAAAGAAGAATGTTACGAGATAATCGTAGGAAGAAACGAAAATACCGAATCATCGGTAGAACACGATTCTATAAAAGAACAAGAATCACAGGAACCATCACAAACTTCTATCGAAGATGTGAAAGAAGAATTCAAAAATACAGATAATCAGACTCATAACCTTAAAAGGTCGTCAAAAGCTGAGCGTAAACAGCGCCTACTTGTTCGAACAGACGATCCTATGGACATAGAGATCAAATTTGAAGATTATCGAAAAGATAATAAAGAAGAAATAAATTCGCAAAAAGAAAAAAGAGAAGAGACTGGACATCTTAGTGAAGAACGAGAAGACGAGGATGCGGGAAGAAGTTCTACTAATCCTTCACCTACACCATCCAATACTAATGTTGGTGGTTTTCGTAGTGCTCGTAGGAAGGTGTGTGCTTTTGTGGTTTACTTATAATTTTTAATTTAATTTGTACATATCTAAAAAAATAAAAAAGAACTACATTTCAGAGAGCAAAAAAAGTATTTGATCCTTCTGATAATAATCTTGTGAAAAGAAAACGTGGAAGACAACCAGGTTCACAAAATAAATCTACTATATCTCAAGAATCACAAGATTCTTCTAAAACAACTATTAAAGATGGACCTTGCAGGCAATGTAGTCTTTGTGCCAAAGAAAAACAAGAAAACTTAGTTGCTTGTCGTGATTGTACTGTACGAGGTACTTTTATATTTAAAAATATAGTAAAATTTTAATTTCAATATATTAATATTATATAATTATAAATTTTATTTTATTTTATTTTTTTATTTTAACATATTAATATTATATAATCATTTATTTACAGCACATCCAAGTTGTATTTATAGTCCAGAAGAAATGATTCAAAAAGCAGGTAGTAATTGGCAATGTGAACGTTGTAAAAGTTGTACAATATGTTGTGAAACTTCAGATGCTGTAAGTGAAAAATATATCAAAAATATATTAGTTTCTTTTTCATATTGTAATTTAAATTAATTTTACAGGGACCACTTGCAACATGTTTTACTTGTGATGAAGCTTATCATTATTATTGCCATACACCACGTATAATAATTCCTAAATCAAATTCAAAATGGCAATGTAATGATTGTATTCAAAAGCAATATAAAACGAATATAAATCAGAATATTCATTTGGTCACTAACAGACCTGATACACCATCAAATCCTCCTGTTTTACCTCCAGTATTAAGTCCTCAAGTTTCTCCTACTAGAGGATCTTCTGATCAAATGGAAGATGATGGTCCAAGAGATGGAATTGATCCAAATATACCTGATGCTTCGGATTGGACATCTGAGCAAGTATATCAATATTTTGCAAGACTTTTTCCAAAAGAAGCAGAAGTGTTCAGACAGCAGGTATTTTTTTTTATTTCTGAAAATCCTATTTTCTGATATCTATTAAATATTCTACATATATATTTCAGGACATTGATGGTCATTCTTTATTATTAATGAAAAGGTCTGATGTATTAAGTGGACTTGATTTACTTCTAGGTCCAGCATTAAAAATATACAGGCATGTATTAAAATTACAAGTGCGACGAGATGATCCAAAACTTTATTGGCTGTAAATGCTTTAGAGATTTAAGATTAGAATTATTAATTATACTGTACAGATTAATTTTTTTATATTTAAAAATTGAGTATTTTTTTGATTCGAGATAGTTTTTCATACTGTATATATTGTAGTTATCTTGAATTAAAAAAATAATTCTTTATTGTAAAGAAAATTTAAAAAATAACGTAAAAAATAATAAAAAGCTGAGAACTGTTATTTGTTTTTTGTACAAATATTTTTGAATTAAATAGTTTAAATAATTTACCATTAATATAAACCTTTCCTTCTTAATATGATATTGATTAAAGTTATATAAATATTTATATAATATTTTTAAAAGGTGCTAATCTTTTCACTTGTTACATGTTGAAGATAAATTCATAATAAAAATTCTAAAAATCGTTTTTATTAAATAAAATAATTTGAATATAGAATACAATAATAAATACTATTTATCTTCATATTATTTTTTTTATTTTTACAATATATAGTGAGATAACAAATATTAATAATACAATAAATTAGTACTATCCTATATAAGGAACATACAGAATACTTTGGTTTGAAATATACTTTCTTATACATTAATATTAATATTTACAGCATACTATATTTTATATAGTTAAAAGAAACATTTATCTTTATTTTCTGTTATAATATTTGTAACAACAATTCCTTTAATATGTATAAAATAATGAAAATCTACAATTAAATATTAAAGAAATATAGCTGAAAATTTGTGAAACAAAAATTTAATGCAAATGAATTCTTCTTATGATACACAGAATAGATGAAATTTGTTATTATCAAAAATTTATAACAATAACATAGGTACATTATGAATATGATATTTACATTAATATGTTGATATCTATTTTGATTAAACTATATGATATATTTTATAATTTTAACATTATAACAATATGAAATTAATATCATTTTATACAACATAAATATTAATATAACCATTTCATTTGCTTTTTATGTTAAAATTAAATTGTGAGGTATGTTTAATATTTTATAATATTCTATTATATTTCATTTTAAATCATTTATAATTTGTCTTACATTGGTTATATAATCATAATCATAAAGTAATTTGTTTATTGTAAGAAAATGCAAAATTTATTTCTATATAATGCAATTAAAATATATTATGTCTTAAAAAATTTGAAATTATATAAATATTAATTATATATTTAGAATATGATATAATATTAAAACAATATATATCAATATTTCAAAAAATTTTTCAACTATATATATATTATATTTATTTCTATAATTGCAATATTTTGTTTTCTTTATATAAAATAAAGATTAAGAAATGTCAAAATAAATTTCTAACTATAATTTTTACAAATATATTTTTTTTCTTCAATTTTTATTATCTTTATATTAAAAAATTTCATTTTAATATTAAACATAAATTATGTAGAAAATTATATATATATATATATATATATATATATTAATATATAAATATTTTTAAACAAAAATATATTTTTTGAATTAAAAATAAAACTTATAATGTTTAACCAATGTAAGAATAATAAAACAAAACTAAATATAATTAAATTATAATTCTAAATAAATTTTGTTTTACATTTGTACATACATGATGTACAAAAATATATTAATATATAATAAATGCAAAAGCTTTTAATCTTTACTAAATTACTAATAAAGTACATATAATTTGCAGTCTTAT